TCGAAATGGTTTGTATCGGTACATTTCCACGTGGGATTTGGCCTCTTCTGGAAAGTGTTGTCCTGGGACAGCAGTAGCCCTTCGTTAGGGAGGTGAAGGCAGTGCTGGCCTGGACCGAATGTGGCCCCTGGGGTTCAGGTTTTGGTTGGTGCTGGCATGAACTTTGACCCAGGCGTACATAGTCGCCCCAGTTTGCATTTGCCGAAGAAGTTTTGCGCAATATTTAAAGCCCGGCCGAAGTGTTCTTTCCCTGTGCTGACCGTTGGTCAGTGATGCGAATGCCCAGCGAGAAATACGAGATCCGCTGGGTTTGTTCCCATCTTTCAGCGCCATCACTTATTTCTTGCATTTTTCTGAACTTACTTATATGTTTAAGCAAATATGAGGATGCGCCTTAACGATACCTCGGCCCCGGCGTCTGTGCTAGTGTGCCACAGCTAACCAATTATCACCGGACAAGCTAGGAAGCTGAAATTTCGCGAACTGAGCCCTTGATATTGTAATGGCTCGGCGGAGAATTGTTTTCTGATACTGGCTGCATCTCGAACTGTGGCGTACCCGGGACACTCGCTAATTCAGAGTCGGGTTTTCTGCCTGTGGAACTATTATTCTTGTGCGTTTCTGCATATTTATGCAAATGCAAAACGTATATTGCCGAGAAGTTGTCGATGTGTATGTATGTATGTATATGTGTGTGTATGTGTGTGTGTGTATGTGTGTGTATGTGTGTGTACGCATGTATGTATGTATGTGTGTGCGTGAGTGTGTACATTTTTGGATTTTTGTCTCCCACATCTAACTCAGTAACCTCATAAGCTAGAAGGCTGGAATTTTTCAGTGATTTTCCTAGCGCCATTCAAATAACTCAAAAATAACGTCCACGCATGGCTGAGTAACAGCTACTTTGAGTAGTTCTGCATCGTTTACATTCTCCTTGTTGATGATCCTGGCGTTCGTTCCTTTTCCTAAGAAGTTTGTCAGCTCAGGGGGCTTATTTCTGTTATGTACCACTATCGGCTCAGAGACAGCCTCATTTCTGGGTGGATTACTGCGTGTGTGTGTGTGCATGTGTGTGTGTGTGTGTGTGTGCATGTGTGTTAAGTACCACTATTTTCTTCCGGATTTTGCCGCTCCCAGGGTACACTGACCATTTTCCTTAGCGACTGGAAACTCGAGCTATTTTTCCAAGTAACCAAAGGCCAAAATTGCTTGCATGCATTACAGTCAGGCGGACAATATATGCAGGTTTTGTTTCCACAGGCAGAATCACGTAAAAAAAGCATAATGGCATGGTCCCCCGGATTGTTCATCCCTTCTTCTCACGCGGTCGCTCTCGCGTCTTCATTTCACTGCGCCACTAATCCGTCGTACCCTGGCTGCAGTGCATGTTGATGCTGGATGGAGACGGTGCCGATTTCGTCGGATGCATTTCTTCGAATATACGAATGTATTCTGGAATGTGTGGAGGATGAGTTCGGCAAGTTAAGAAAGAAATTGACGGCGGCCGACTTGAAACGAATCAACGTTATCCACGGAATACTGAACAATCGCGGTTTACGCCTCTCGAGAATTGGGTAAGT